GGGGAACGAACTTTAACGAAGTCCAATTTTTTTGGTTCAACCCAAAAAACAGCTCGGTTTTCACAAAATGGCAGCTGGAAAAAAAAAAAAAAAAAGGCAGCTGTGATGTGTGAGAACACGCGCGCACGAGAGAGAGAGACCAAACAAATAGCTCCTTAACATTAATAAGAAAAACCCTGCGGGTTATCCGAGAGGCCCCTGCAGAGAATTAGCAAGGCCTCCTCACCATGAACGAGGTGCTCAGACCCACGCTAGAGTCAGGGCACGCCAAGTATATATGGTGTTGATTCACATTAAGGTCCGTGTTTCAGCAGTTATGGGATCATTGAGCATGCCGGCAGTAGCAGGCCAACTCACCACGTGCTTTTCAGGGCTTCCCTCCACTACTCACCAAATGTGCAAACCGAGAATGAATCTTCTGCTAGAACATGGAATCATATGCCGCCATATGTTTTGTCTTTTGTGCAAGTGGTGACGAGTGGAGCAAGGTCCTTAGGGCCACTGCTCGTAGGAAAACGAAAGAAAGGAAAGAGAGAGCTGTAATGACCCGCCATAACACAGACTGAGAACACTGCTGATTTCTGAAGTTCTGCCGATGGAATGGGTGCCTTGCTGAGATTCCCGCATTCTACTGAGTTTTCTAAGTTTGTATGTGTGCGTGCTTGTTGACCTGTGTGCCTGTCTGAGTGCTTGTTGGTATGAGTGTGTGTGTGACCTGCAAGGGTACTTGCTTGTTTGACAGGCCCGTAGGGCCGGTACTTACCTGTGGCTGTGGCATTGAGGGTTGCAGCAAGGAAGTCTGCAATGATGTTTCCCTCCGAAAGGGAGGAGGTACCAGTCACTTGGGAGGCCGAGCGGCCTGGAAGTCACCACCCAGTAGGCAAGCAGGCCGCTATATCAAGAGGCCGAGGGAAGACCTCGGCCTCATTCTTCAGTGTGCGAGTTGGGCGTCACGCTGCTGGATCGTTGGTTGGAAGAGCGCTGGCTGCTACAGCGCTGCTGGGAGGAAGAAGCCGGGAGCTTCCACCTTGGCTATGGTGGAGCTCTACCAGTAGGAGGAGGAGGGAGAAGGGGACCAAGGAGGAGAGTGGCGAGGTACCTACCTGGCTATGGTGGACACCATCTTCATCACCTTGTTAGACAATGCATCTGGAAGGCCTGCTTTGGGTTGTCCTTTGGACAGGAGGGTAGAGCCCTCAGTGCTCCGCCATAGCCTTGGCCTATATGAAGAGGAAGAGGAAGGGTGGCCATGGCTATGGTGGACCTCATGTTGTGCCTGCAGTAGAAGTGGGATTAGGACATTGATTCTGGTTCAGCCATTCAAGTTGATTCAACATTATTATTGTTATTTCTTGTTTGAAGAAGAGGGGAGGAGATAAGGAGGAGGAGATTGGTTGGCGAAGAAGAAGAGCCTTGTCATTGGTCTATGCTGGAGTACATCATCTTCTTCTTCTTTCTTTCTTCTTCTTCTTCTTCTTTCCCTCTCTCTCCTCTCAAGTTCATTCATTTCTTTTTGCAATTGGACGGCATTGTACTTTCTGATGAATGGATACTTCGAAATTGGCCAGGACCGTAACATTGGTATCAGAGCGGATTCTACTTGCTGGCGAGAGTTGACTTTGCCGCCATAACCCTAACCCTAGTGGTAAGGGCTAACCACTTAGGGTTAGGGCGGAAGTTAGGATGGTTTAGGAATGGGAATATCGACGTCTTGATGACGAACAAGGCCATCTGCTGTATATAGTTTTTTTTGCAGACAAGAGTTTTGTCCTGGGTGGTCTTGTCCCGTCGTTTGGCCTGTGAAGGAGGGGTGGTGCTTGCATGTGGGACTTGTCATCTAGGATCAGTTTTTGGTGCTGTTGCCTGTTGGCCCCTGTTTTGTTGTATTTGGCTGTTCCCTTCCTCTTTTCTTTGCCTCTTTGCCCTTTGGCTGTGTGCAAGTGGGTCGATATGACACACGGGGGTGGGGGCAGCCGCCGCTCAACCTACATCCACGTGGGCGGCCTTGTACGCAAGAGGGTAAGGAAGAAGATAAAAAAATGAATTTATTTTTCTTTGTTTTCTTTCTGTTTTCTTTTCGCTTTTGCATTCTGATAACTTTGTGACAATATATAGAAAGAAAAAAACGACCAGAAATCTTCCATAACAGAAAAAGCCAGATCAGCATACGCACGTAGATAATTGACTCCGAAAAGAAATGAAGAGGAAACTATTCCACACACAGTTGCAAGGAATATGAGAGTGAGCGATATACATAAAACCAAGTTGCAAAATCACACAGCTGAGCAAGTAGTAGTATCCCAAGTAGAGAGTACAAATGCACCGAGAAAACCATCCATAAAGAGCAATACAATGAAGTATTGAGCCAATGTCCAAGCCCGTAGGCCACACCAACACAGTATCCAGAGTCGCTCTCTCTGTCTGGCGCACAGCGCACAGCCTACTCTACCACACTATCCTACTCTACAGCTGGTTCACACAACAGGATCACTTCGGCTCACGAAGACCAATGTACATGACTGTCAACACCATCGGCGACCTCTCTTCATGTACCAGGTACGTATCTCGTCACCCTCAATCAGACCTTGATTACCCCACACAGCGCCTCTCTCCCTGAAGACCACCCGATCATCCGCTGTACCCCCTGGCGCCTAGCAGCCCGGCTATGGCCGCCTGCGCCCCACTGCCCTGCAGCGCCCCTCTCACCACCTAGCGCTCCATCAGCGCCCCTGGCATTAGCGCAGCATCAAGCAGAAGCGCAGCAGCACTTCCGCATTGCCAGCGCTGGCCAGTGTGTCTGGCCTCGGCTGCCTCACTTCCTTTATGGAAGTGTCAGCTTGATGCTGCGTGTGGCCTGGCTGGAAGCTTCCAGTAGCTTCCGGTTGGGCCTCAGACCCTGTGCCCAGGCCTGAGACTTACAGTTGAGGGCCTGGGCCCCTTTTCAGTTGGGCACGGCCTGAGTCTTCCAGACTTGGGCTGTTTGTGGCATCTGTGCAGGGTCCCCGGGCAGGTGCATTCGCACTACTGCTTTTGCAAAGGCCGAAGTCCTGCTTCCCAATGTATCAGCCCTGCTTTGTGTACGTGTGCCCAGGCGCAACTGTCAAGGCCTGGGCCAACTGTATGCTGCAGCATTGTGAGGCTCACGCGTCTTCCCAACCAACTGGCGTGCTGCGAGAGCCTGAATACCCCATATGGAAATGTCGAATTCTGCCTTTGACGA